TATCCCTCAGAGGCCTTCATAGTGACATAATTGTGCTTTTAAAATCAGAACCTCAAAACAAGGCACAGGAAAATATATATTTTCTAACACCAGAGCCTACTTAGAAAGTTAAATAATCAGATATTTTTTGACAATTTAATGGTGACTTACAACTTATTACATAACATGAAAAAAACCCTATGAAATGGAAATTACTGAGTTCAGTTTTTTGTTTGCTTATTAGTATTTTTACAAAAGGGCTCTTAACTTTCCCCACACTCTAATTATTTTTCCCACTTCCTTTCCTTCCAATCTCTCTTGAATATATTCCAGTCAGGCTTTTGTCCCTCCTTCTGTCAAAGATGCTCTTGTCTAAGTCCCGAGTGACCTCCATGTAACCAAATCCCATGGTCCCTTTGTTCTACATGAAAGATTTTCTTCCTTTGTCCTCTAGACTTTCCTCCTAACTCACTGGTTATATCTTATTAAACACTTGAATTTTAGAATAATTTAGGATTTACAAGAAGTTGTAAAAATAATACGGAGAGGTCCCATGTACTCTTAATCCGCTTTCCCCAAAGATAGCATGTGATATAACCATAGTATATAATCAAAGCCAAGAAACTAACACTGGTACAATGACACTATAGGTGTTATTTGGATTTCACCAGTTTTGCTTGCAATCATTTTGAGACGGAGTGTACAGCAGAGATTTGTGTATCCACTTTCACAATCTGGACACAGAATGATTTCATCACCACAAAGAAACTTCCCCTTTTATAGTCATAACCTATCCTTAGCATGTGGAAACTACTAATCTTTTCTCATCACTAAAATTTCATTTCAAGAGTATTATATAAAAGAAATCTTTGAGATTAGCTTTTAAAAAAACATTTTGTTGGAGTATAATTAAAACTATTATGTTAATTTCTGAGATTAATTTTTTTCATTTAGCATAATATCCTTCAGTTCAGTTCAGTCGCTCAGTCGTGTCCAACTCTTTGCAACCCCATGAACCACAGCATGCCAGGCCTCCCTGTCCATCACCAACTCCTGGAGTCTACTCAAACCCATGTCCATTAAGTCAGTGATGCCATCCAACCATCTCATCCTCTGTCATCCCCTTCTCCTGCCCTCAATCTTTCCCAGCATCAGGGTCTTTTCAAATGAGTCAGCTCTTTGCATCATGTGGCCAAAGTATTAGAGTTTCAGCTTCAACATCAGTCCTTCCAATGAACACCCAGGACTGATCTCCTTTAGGATGAACTAGTTGGATCTCCTTTCAGTTCAAGGGACTCTTAAAACATGATAAAAATTCAAGTTGTTATGTATATCAAGAGCACATTCCTCCTTTTGGGTGAGTAGTATTTTGTTGAAGGGATATATCACTATTTATTTGCACTTTAAAGGACATTTGGCTTGTTTAGAGTTTTTGACAATTACAAATAAAGCTGCTATGAACATAACCTAGTAATGCATCGCTTCTCTCTGGTTACTTTCAAGGTTATTTTCTTTGTCTTTAGTTTTTAGTAATTTTATTATATCTGATTGGGGATTTCCTTGGGTTTATCCTCTTAGGATAAGCTCAGCTTCTTGAATTTTTAGGGTTATGTCTTATAGTAAGTTTTGTTATTGTCTTATAGGTCCCCGAGGCTCTGTTAATTATTTTCCAATCTGTTTTCTCTCTCTTGTTCGTATTGGTAATTTCTTTTGATCTGTCTTTAACGTCACTGGTTCATTCCTCTCACATTTCCATTCTTCTACTGAGCCCATCAAGTGAGTTTTTTATTTCAGTTATTGTATTTTACAATTCTAAGCATTCTATTTGGTTCTTTTTTATACCTTTTATTTCTTTACAGAGCCTTTCTAATTTTTTGTTTCAAGAACATTCATAATTGTTAGATCACTTTTATGATACTGCTTTAAGACTGTTGTCAAACAATTTCAACATCTGTATTATCTCGATATTGGCAGCTGTTGATTGTGGGGTTTTTGTGTGTGGTTCTTGGAGTGGTGAGCAATTTTTATTGTATCTTGTACATTTTGAATATTAATTTATGAGAGTCTAGCTCCTATTTATATCTTCTGTTGTGGCACTCCGTAAACTTGTTTATGTTAAGACATACATCTTGACCCACTTTTGTGGGCTGTGGTTCAAATATCCATTTAGTTTCAAATTCTTTGTACTGTTTTGGTCTGTTCATTTGTGTGCTACCCAGAAGTCAATCTGAAACTTGGATAGTGTTTCACACCAGTGTTTAGTTCTGAAACTTTTTGCTCTGTTGTTTCTGGTCAGTTTCATGTATGGACTACTCAGAGGTTTGTCCAGGATTTCATAATTTTTACAACCATTTTCTACAAGGATATATTGTACAACACAGGGAATATAGTCAACATTTTATAATAACTATACATGTAGTATAACCTTTAAAATTGTGAATCGCTATGTTGTACATCAATAACATATATAATATTGTACAACTGTTTCTCAATAAAATATATAATTAAAGTCATTTTCTTTAGCTTCCACCTCTCAGTAATCCTTCCACTTTCTAGTTGGGAAGGAAAGGAATATGGCTTTATTCATGGTGTTGACCTGGAATTAAGCAAGAATTATTTAAATGTTTCAATCCTGCTGAGCCACCCTTTCCCTGGGCCTTCGGAAAGAGACAGTAGGCTTTGTTTGGACATTTTTGTCTGTGCTCATTGATATTTCTGGACTGTGGGCCTAACTGGTACCTAGGCCATGATATTCAGAAGATAAAGAAATTTTTTTAAACATGGGGAACTCACCACCAGGCTGTTTCTTAAGTCCTGAGTTCCCCAACCAGTCCACCTTCTTTTCTCCACTTTTCACAGTCTTCTAATGGTTGTTTAATCAAATTTTGTCCAGGCTTTTCATTAAATTAATGGATTTAATAGAATGAAAGGTGCTTACTCCACCTTGTCTGGAATGGAAAGCTCATCACTGGTTTTGTTGCTGCTTCTCCCTCATAGTCCTCAAGGCTCCCTCTTCAGACCTCTTTTCTTCTCTAACTACATTGATCCCTAGCTGATATCATCAAATACTATGACTTTACCATCATAACTAGTTCTCACATAGATATCTTCAGCCATGAGCACTCTCCTGAACCCCAGACTCATATATTCAACCACTTTAGGTATCTGATGAACACCTCAAACTAAGCATTTCCAAAACCAAATTCATGATTTTTCTGTCCAAACTTGCTCCTTCCTCATTCTTCTCCATCCCAGTAAATAACAATCCTATTCTGCCAGGTACTTAAATTATCTTTGATTCCTCTCTTTTTCTCTACTGCAATCCAATTTATTGGTGTGTCTTATTGGCTGCACCTTCAAAATGAAACCAAAATCTAACTTATCATTTGTACAGCTACCTTCCTGGTCCAACCCAATATCACCTCTTACCAGCATTATTAGAATAGCCTCCTTTGGGGAGTGGGTGGGATGACTGAAACTTTTTTATTTAACCACTTTTAAAATGGAGTACAGTTAATTTACAATATTGTGCCAGCTTCAGGTGTACAACAAAGTGACTCAGCCATACACGTACACAGTACATGTGTGTATATATATGTGTGTATGTGTGTGTATATATATTTTTTCAGACTCTTCTCCACTACAACTCACCACAAGATATTGAATATAGTTCCCTGAACTACACTGCACATGCTTGCTGCCCATCTATTCCATACTCTGTGCTGTGCTAAGTCACTTCAGTTGTGTCAGGCTCTTTGCAACCCTATGGACCATAGCCCACCAGGCTTCTCTGTCCATAGAATTTTCTAACCAAGAGTACTGGAGTGGGTTGCCATTTCCTCCTCCATGGGATCTTCACAACCCAGGGATGGAACCTGTGTCATAATCATCCTTTAAAAGCCTTCTATTTACATACCCAAACAGGCAAACATTCCAAATTTTCCTCCTACTGCACAAATTACTTTGGGAATACAGTGAGATCATGTCATCAAGACTGTCTGATGAGACAGTGTGTTCAGTAACAAAGTGGTACTTCAGAGCTTCATCCAAAAGATGTTTACAAGTGCGATCATCACGAATAAGATGATTTGCTTCCATACACAGTAAGGTGTATTAGAATAGCCTTTTAACTGGTTGCCCTGATTCCATCCTTGCCTTCCCTGCATTCTGTTCTCCACTCTGGGGTAATCTTTTTCACATGTAAATCAGATTGTTTCAAACTCAGAGTTCTGATCTGGTGGTGCCTCTCCTCTTGCAGAAGAATTCTGTTCAATCCCCTTGCTCTCTGGTTGTATCACACTGGCCTTTGTGATGTTACTAGAAAATGCCAAACATTTCCTGACTTTTAGTGCCAGCATCTGAGATTTCCTCTGCCAGGGATGCACTTGTTCCAGATAGCCAAATGGTCTGGTCCCTCACTGCCCTTGGGTTTCTGCTCAAATATCTCCTCCTTAGCCACTCTCTCCAAGAAAAATTTTCTCTCTCTCTCTCTCCCTCTCTCTCTCTGTCTGTGTGTGTGTGTGTGTGTCTTTACTCCGATTTACTTGTCCCAGTTATCTATTATCGTGTAACAAACCACCCCACACAGACTTCCCTGATGGTCCAGTGGTTAGGACTCTGTGCTTCCACTGCAGGGGGCGCGGGTTTGATCCCTGGTGGAGGAAGTAAGATTCTGTGTGCCACGTGGTACAGCCAAAAAATAGAAGAAAACAAATCACCTCACGACTTAGTGGCTTAAAACAACAACCATTTTATTTACTCACAACTTTGTGGGATGGAAATTCAGGCATTCTGGAGCCTCAGCTGGGATGGATTTAATGGCTGGGAGCTGGCCTCTTAGGTACAGAAGCTCACATCATGCTGTTACCTAAGTTTCTCAATTCTTCCATGATGACTCTGCACAAAGCCAGCTTGAGATTCCTCACAGAGAGATGATCTCAGGATAATTGGATTTCTTACATGGTGGCTGGCTTTTCCCTTAAATGAAGTGGAAGTTGCCAGGCTTTTGAAAAGCTAGACACAGAATGAATCTGGCAACACTTCTGCAACACACCCTTGGTGAAGGAAAAGAAACAGGGCCAGCCTGGATAGGAGAGAGAAAATAGACTCCACCACTTGGTGGGAAGAACAGGATGCATGTACAGGAGGGAAAGAGTTGATGATGGCCATGACTATCTTTGGAGATGATTTGCCACAGCACTTATCACCACCTGGAATTATTCATTTTTGTCTACACCACTAGTATGTAAGCTTCATGAGAGCAAGAGCTTGTCTGTTTAGTTCACTATTATATCCCCAGTGCCCAGAATGGTACATGGCCCATAGTAGGCACTCCATAATTATTTTGTTGAAAATTCTACTTGAGAGATAAAATTAGCAGATTGCTTACTTAAAAAAAAAACCACCTGAATTACTGTCTCTATGATTACTAAACTCTACTGATACCTGGTCCAACATTTTACTATATATTTTTAATCACAAACTCACAGCACAAAGGGATGTTTACAAATTTTACTTGCGGGAAAAACACACCATATACCTTCTTCTAGGAACATAGGTGGAGTCCTGACAGGTCTGTGGACCTGGAAAGAGACACACTGTTGTCCACACCAGAGTTTAAGAATGCTGCATGATTGTCCAGTAAGCCTCCTCTTCAGCTAAGTCACATCCAGAGTCAACGGGAACATTTACTGGCCTAGCAGATAAACCAGCAACAGCTGTTACTCATTCTTAACTTTTCAAGAGGCTCTGTAGTTTCTAAGACACTTAATTAAAGCCAAGGAAAGAGGATACATAATATTTGGGTGACAGTAGGTAAACAGTGAGTTAGCCAGTTAGTGGAGTGCCAGGAGGCATGGGGCTTTGTATCCATGTGCCAAGTGTACTGTGGATTCCACCCACAGCTCCCACTCAAGGAGCGTACCTTCTACATCCATTGTTAAGCCCTGTGATGTCCTGAAAGCCACATATATTTAGTGAAGGTCAAGTACTCATCTGACCCAAAAGCTACAAATCCATAGACAGGTCATCAATCTAGGATTTCACCTGCTAAGATAAGATTGCGTGCATGCGTGTTAAGTCACTTCAGTCATGTCCGACTCTTTGCGATGCTATGGACTGTAGCCCACCAGGCTCTTCTGTCCATGGGATTCTCCAGGCAAGAACACTGGAGCGGGTTGCCATGCCCTCCTCCAGGGGATCTTCCCAACCCAGGGATGTTTCCTGCATTACTGGGTGATTCTCCACTCTGAGGAATTTAACTTGGAAATACCAAAATAATTGGACAATTGGTAGCTAAGATGGGCCATATGTAAGGGGAAATTACAAAAGAATAGAAACTAAATGAAAGAAACATGAGGTACTGAAAAGATATCAATTTAGGAGGCAAACTGATAGTTGGATAGAAATAAGCAGACATACATAGAGTAGCTTAAGCATAATAAGAGCAGAGCACTAGGATGAAGGGCCACAAACTCCTGCTGTCCCTCCTGCCATCTCAGGTTCCTCCTATCCTGATCCCCAGTAGATGCCCAAGGCAAATGCTCCAACACTGTGTTTGGAAGGAGTTTTTTCTATGTCTTAAACAACACCTAAAGAAACTGTTTCGTTATTATGACCATAATACTTAATTCAGTGATCTTTTCTGCTTATTTTCCGACCCTGCTAAGAACCATAAGAAGAGAGGGGGAAATTTACCCTCTTAGTACATTTCTCAGGAAAAAGGAAAGAAAGTGTAAGTAAGATTGGATCCTTCAAACTTCAAACCAACAAAGAGGAATATGGGATGAAAAGAGTTTAGGCTATTTTATCAAGAGACAATTGTGTTTACTTTGCTCAGTTCTTTTTTACTTAAGTAGCAATACTCCCACAGAACTACAAAGGGAGAAAATACACTCCTTTCCTAGATTTTATGACTTTCCCTACCCACTGCATGAAAGAATTCTGGCTACCATCATAACCGCAATGCCAACTGCCAAGAAGAGACACTTGTGTGTGTGGAATACTGATTCACATAAGAGCTGCCTCTGAGCAGGGATATGCTGACTGGGCTCCTCTTCTTGCAAACCTTCTTCCTTTTGCAAGAGCCTCAGAGACGTCGGGACAGGTGTACCTATTCATCAATGATGAACCCTGGAGCTGGTCCACCCTCGTCTTCAGGGTCTTACCACTCTGAATAACAACAGAACTGCTCTTTGTTAATGTTAAAAATAAATCTACTAAGATTCAACAGTGGGCCTCCCCAGTGGCTCAGCAGTAAAGCATCTACTTGTAATGCAGGAGATGCAGGCTCAATCACTGGGTTGAGAAGATCCCTTGGAGGAGTCATGGCAACCCATTCCAGTATTCTTGCCTGGAGAATCCCATGGACAGAGGAGCCTGACAGGCTACAGTCCACAGGGTCTCAAAGAGTCAGACATGACTGAGCATGCATGCAAGATTCAACAGTGCAATCTCCTTTTCAGATCTCAGCTTAAGAAACTGAACAGGACAAAATTCTCCACTTTACATCTACTAGAAAACAATAACAATTGTATGAAATAGAGATAGCTAATTGATCCACATACGCCAGAAATTTAAAGTTATCTAAATCTGGAAAGGCGAATGTGAAGGTAAGACAGTACTGTTGATAAGTATAGATGCACGTGCATGTGCACACATACACACACACAAACACACACATCATAAAACCATGGTAAGTGAAAGGCATCTGTGGTGTAACTCAAGTTGAGGCAGGTGTCACAGGCCTCCCATTGCCTCCTCCCACTTCTGAGACCCAGGACAGTAAAGCAGGAAGCTGGGGAAAGGGAAGCTTCTGAGGCAACACAGGCCTGGGTTACCCAGCTCCAGTGCCCTCCTCCTACTTCCACCCACACTATCCATCAGAAGAGAATGCCGTCTGCTTGTGGTATCTCCATCCATTCTTTTCCTTTGGACATCAGTTTACTAGGGCTATCACAGTGGAATAACACAGACTTGGCAATTTGAACAACAGATACTTATTTTCTCACAGTTCTGGGGGTTGGAGGTCCCCAGCACGACCTTGTATTTTGTAAAAGAGAATGTCAGAAGTCTCCTATTACCCACTACTTGAAGAGACCAGCAGCCTCCCAACATTTTGCCAATATTCAGCATTCAGAAAGTCACAGCAGCTTCCCTTTACCCTGAGGCAAGAGTGTGAGGGAACTTTTTGTGGTTCGTCAAAGTTAGAACTCCCTGAATAATCCTTGGTTTGTGGATCAAGTTCAGCTTTGGCTCCCTGAGATGGGTGTAGACCTGGATGACTCTGATTAAGAATTGCTTGTGGGAAAGAACATCAACAATCCCCAAAAGGAACTCACTAGAAAGGAAGAAGTTGGGATGAACCCAGACCCAGCATAAGGGTAGTCGGTGAGGCTGAGGCTCACTGGTGTGGTGTTCTGTTGAGGATAGATGCTCACGTGTGAATGGGAACCACAGAGCCATAAGGTTTGAGCCCATGGGAGGGACATCACTGAGGCTTGTATGAGGACACTTACAAATGAGCATCTGTGCAGAGAGGCTGAATATCCATAGGACTAAGCAGGACTCAACTTGAAAAACTACTCTGGGAGACTTTGGAAACAAGAGCAGCAGGGAACTGATCCCATTTTCCAGTTCTTACTGGATGCATCCTAAAGTAGTGGTTTCAAGCAAGCTCAGAGTTGTCCTGCCAGGATTCAAAGCCTACCTCAGCCACCTAGTAGGTAACCTTGGGCAAGTTATTCCCTGTGTTTCATTTTCCTCATCTGAAAAATGGGGATAATAAAAGTCTTTCTTCCGAGTCTTTAGAAAGATTTAATAACTTGGAATTGTGTTTGGCACATTAAGAGTTCAATAAATAGTAATCCTAATTATTGCTCTGTGTGTGTGTGCATGCGTGTTCAGTTATGTCCAACTCTCTGCAACCCCATTGACTGTAGCCCACCAGGCTCTTCTGTCCATGGGATTCTCCAGACAAGAATACTGGAGTGGGTTGCCATTTCCTTCTCCAGGGGATCTTCCTGACCCAGGGATCGAACATGAATATCATGTAAGTCTCCTGCATGGCAGGTGGATTCTTTACCACTGAGCCAGCTATATCTGATTTCAAATTTGTTGTTATTTCACCTTAGGCTTTTGCACACAGGACCAATATCCTTTGACTAGAGTAAGCCTCAGCATTCTTCAAAGCCTGGAAGCTGGAGTGAGGAGATCTATGGGGAAAGATACTGGATTACCTACTTGTAAGGACAGAGTAAACATCAAGAGAATAATTGGACAACTTTTAAAAGATGTGATTTTTAATATGAATTTGGTGAAGCAGGTTATATCTACAATAAATGCCCATTTTGATTTGGAAAATACAAATAATAAAATAAAACTCACTACATTCCTTCCATCCACAATCAAATTTTTAACTTAGTTCCTTGAACATTTTTCAACTCATATAAATTTTACATTGACTTTTTTATATCAATATGTAATTTATGGTGTTTTTTACCATATCATATATAAGTATTTTCACAGACATTTAAAAAATATCAGCATACTTTTAAATGCCTACATAATATTCCATAAAAAGCTTGTGTCCATATTCTCAATGATCTCAAGTTAATGAATATTTAGTGTATCCATTTTCTATTATTAAAAATATCACAGTAAAAATATTGTTCATAGATCTTTATTCCCATTTCTGGTTATTTCCTCAAGTCAGATTCCTAGAAACAAGGTTACTGGATCAAAGGGAATAGATATTTTAAAAGCACTTTTTACATGTTGCCAATTTGCGTTCCAGAAAAGTGATATCTATTTGCCCCACTCCACACTCTTACCAGCACTTTGCTAACTTAATGCTGTTTTAATCTTCGTATTTTCATAACTAGTGAAATTAAAATGTTTTCAGTATTTAATAGTTCATTGTATTTCCATGATTGTGCCCATCTCTTTGCTGCTCATTTTAATCAAATGCCACCTATATGAAAATATTAAAGTGGAATTTGGGAAAGAAAATGAGAGTGTTGGGATTCTAAGTGCTGGAAGACAGTCTGACTTGTCCCAGGTAAACTTTCTCCACATCCTCTCTTCCCACAACACCTTGGCCTTTGTATTGGGCTGGATAGCAGGTGAAATGTGTGTCAAG